GTGACATCCCCACCAATTGTTAGGGACCCACCCTATCTTATATCATGTCGTCTGTCAGGTGTCAGGTAAATACTCTCCATGCGAGACCAGTCATATCCGTCTCATCTCCACTGCAACACGATACATTGTCATAAATACAGAATGAAGTGGAGCAGATTCTGATAAAGACAACGTAGATTATGCTGACACAATGAAATAGACAATGTTTTAGTGTTAAACAAATGTTCTCTTTGTATTGTAATACAATTCCCTATTCAAGACTTTCTTCTAAAGATTTTCCACTAAGGCCTCCTCTCATAATCATCAAAGAGCTGCCCTCATGTTTCAACGGTCCCAAAGCATCGCATTCACATCTCTTTTAAGATTCTTTTTCAAGGACCCTTCTTCAATGCTCTCTTTCTCCAGTAACTTTTTCAAAGCTCCAAGGGAATGTTCATCCTCCACAAATAACCCATATTACGAGATAACCCCGTAAGATATCATTTACCCATGGTACTGTTTTTCATGACTTGCCCACCTAAAAAAGATACTTCATGAAGGTCCCCTATCCTAAAGAGGTTGACCCCTAAAATGCTTTTGGAGAGGAATCTCTCTTCTAGGCCCTGCACCCCACACCCCACACCCCACACCCCACACCCCAGGCCCCACACCTCATACTCCACACCCACACCACACCCACACCTGCACCTCACACCTCACACCTCCCCCCCCCCCCCCCCCCCCCATCACCACGCCTCAACCCAAAACCCCCCCACCCCACCTCACCCCTTACCTCACAAGCCACATACCGCACATCTCACCCCTCACCTCATGTCATGACCCTACCCCCACCCCCATTTCCTCCACATACACACACACACCTCGCACACCCAACATACCCCCCCTCTAGTTTCCATTTCTTATTAAACCACACATTAACAGTTTCACAGGAATTTCTTGACTCCCTGTCCAGCACTTGATGGGGTTGTAATTGCCCTTATAAAATGTTCTCACTCACCTTACATCTGCTCTGATATCAGTTCGGGTAAAACTTAAAATCTTTTATTTCAGTGTTAAAATTTCTAAGTTAAAAACATACAGACTTTTTAATATTCTGGGCCCTGATTGTCAATCCTGAGTGACTATAGATAGTTAAGTATATGGCAGTACTGACCCCAGTGTGGTAGTTTGAGTGACACTAATGTTTCAGTGGAAGGTCTTATATTATGTATCAGTAGAGCTGTATGAACAACACATTTATTAGATTCTCACATAGATTGGCCCTTCAGTGACATAGTATTCAGGCTCATGAATAATTTACATGTATTCTGAATTTGATAAAAAAAAGTTATTGGGCATCGGAAAAACATGGGGGAGGATTTAAATAGTGGTGAAGGATTTTACAAACCAAGGGTCAGGAGAGTGTGATTTGTTGGGAATTCTACTTGAGGCTTATAGAGAATCTGGGTCAGAAAATGGAGTCAAGAGGGAAGACTGTGGGGGCCCATGGTAATGGGTAATTCCTGTTCCTAGAGTACCCACTGCCAGGAAACATCACGACTTATCATATATCTGTAACCATTTTCATACCATCTCTCAAACTATTCCAATTCTCTACAGCAAACATCTTCATATCACACATCTCCAGAAAACCCCACCCTAAAAAACATACTTCACTCCAAAACCCCTTCATAACAGCATAACTGTCTCAAAAACCCGTCCTGAAACATTCCTCTAAAATGTTTTTCCCCAAACCTCTCTCTAACAATATTCCCTCTTGCTGAAAAACCCTGCTTAACAATATATCTCTCCCAAAAGAAACTCCCTAACAATATACCCCTTCCCAAATCCCTCCCTAACAATATACCCCTCCCTAGAAATATACCCTTCCCCAAATCCCTCCCTAACAATATACCCCTCCCTAGAAATATACCCTTCCCCAAATCCCTCCCTAACAATATACTCCTCTCCAAATCCCTCCCTTACAATATACCCCTCCCTAGAAATATACCCTTCCCCAAATCCCTCCCTAACAATATACCCCTCCCTAGAAATATACCCTTCCCCAAATCCCTCCCTAACAATATACTCCTCTCCAAATCCCTCCCTTACAATATACTCCTCTCCAAATCCCTCCCTAACAATATACCCCTCCCTAGAAATATACCCTTCCCCAAATCCCTCCCTAACAATATACCCCTCCCTAGAAATATACCCCTTCCCAAATCCCTCCCTAACAATATACCCCTCCCTAGAAATATACCCTTCCCCAAATCCCTCCCTAACAATATACTCCTCTCCAAATCCCTCCCTAACAATATACCCCTCCCTAGAAATATACCCTTCCCCAAATCCCTCCCTAACAATATACTCCTCTCCAAATCCCTCCCTAACAATATACCCCTCCCTAGAAATATACCCTTCCCCAAATCCCTCCCCTAACAATATACCCTTCCCCAAATCCCTCCCTAACAATATACTCCTCTCCAAATCCCTCCCTAACAATATACCCCTCCCTAGAAATATACCCTTCCCCAAATCCCTCCCTAACAATATACCCCTTCCCAAATCCCTTCCTAGAAATATACCTTTCCCCAAATCCCTCCCTAACAATATACTCCTCTCCAAATCCCTCCCTAACAATATACCCCTCCCTAGAAATATACCCTTCCCCAAATCCCACCCCTAACAATATACCCTTCCCCAAATCCCTCCCCTTCCCCAAATCCCTCCCTAACAATATACCCCTCCCTAGAAATATACCCTTCCCCAAATCCCTCCCTAACAATATACCCCTCCCTAGAAATATACCCCTTCCCAAATCCCTCCCTAACAATATACCCCTCCCTAGAAATATACCCTTCCCCAAATCCCTCCCTAACAATATACTCCTCTCCAAATCCCTCCCTAACAATATACCCCTCCCTAGAAATATACCCTTCCCCAAATCCCTCCCTAACAATATACTACTCTCGATATCCCTCCCTAACTCCTCCCTAGAAATATACCCTTCCCCAAATCCCTCCCTAACAATATACTCCTCTCCAAATCCCTCCCTTACAATATACTCCTTCCTAGAAATATACCCTTCCCCAAATCCCTCCCTAACAATATACTCCTTCCTAGAAATATACTCCTCTCCAAATCCCTCCCTAACAATATACCCCTCCCTAGAAATATACCCTTCCCCAAATCCCTCCCTAACAATATACCCCTCCCTAGAAATATACCCTTCCCCAAATCCCTCCCTAACAATATACCCCTCCCTAACAATATACCCTTCCAAATCCCTCCCTAACAATATACCCCTCCCTAGAAATATACCCTTCCCCAAATCCCTCCCTAACAATATACTCCTCCCTAGAAATATACCCTTCCCCAAATCCCTCCCTAACAATATACTCCTCTCCAAATCCCTCCCTAACAATATACTCCTCTCCAAATCCCTCCCTAACAATATACCCTTCCCCAAATCCCTCCCTAACAATATACTCCTCTCCAAATCCCTCCCTAACAATATACCCCTCCCTAGAAATATACCCTTCCCCAAATCCCTCCCTAACAATATACTCCTCTCCAAATCCCTCCCTAACAATATACCCCTCCCTAGAAATATACCCTTCCCCAAATCCCTCCCTAACAATATACTCCTCTCCAAATCCCTCCCTAACAATATACTCCTCTCCAAATCCCTCCCTAACAATATACCCCTCCCTAGAAATATACCCTTCCCCAAATCCCTCCCTAACAATATACCCCTCCCTAGAAATATACCCTTCCCCAAATCCCTCCTTAACAATATACTCCTCTCCAAATCCCTCCCTAACAATATACCCCTCCCTAGAAATATACCCTTCCCCAAATCCCTCCCTAACAATATACTCCTCTCCAAATCCCTCCCTAACAATATACTCCTCTCCAAATCCCTCCCTAACAATATACCCCTCCCTAGAAATATACCCTTCCCCAAATCCCTCCCTAACAATATACCCTTCCCCAAATCCCTCCCTAACAATATACCCCTCCCTAAAAATTTTCACTTGCCCTAATCCGTCCCTAACAATATACTCCTCTCCAAATCCCTCCCAAATCCCTCCCTAACAATATACCCCTCCCTAGAAATATACCCTTCCCCAAATCCCTCCCTAACAATATACTCCTCTCCAAATCCCTCCCTAACAATATACTCCTCCCTAGAAATATACCCTTCCCCAAATCCCTCCCTAACAATATACCCCAACCTAGAAATATACCCTTCCCCAAATCCCTCCCTAACAATATACCCCTCCCTAGAAATATACCCTTCCCCAAATCCCTCCCTAACAATATACCCCTCCCTAGAAATATACCCTTCCCCAAATCCCTCCCTAACAATATACCCCTCCCTAGAAATATACCCTTCCCCAAATCCCTCCCTAACAATATACTCCTCTCCAAATCCCTCCCTAACAATAACTCCTTCCTAGAAATATACCCTTCCCCAAATCCCTCCCTAACAATATACCCTTCCCCGAAAACACTCCCTAACAACATACTCCCCCCCCCCTCCCCAATCCCTCTCTAACAATATACCCCTCCCCAAAAACCCTCCCTATCAATATACTCCTCCCCAATCCCTCTCTAACACTCCCTAACAATATACCCTTCCCCGAAAACACTCCCTAACAATATACTCCTCCCCAAATCCCTCCCTAACAATATACCCTTCCCCGAAAACACTCCCTAACAATATACCCTTCCCCGAAAACACTCCCTAACAATATACTCCTCCCCAAATCCCTCTCTTACAATATACCCCTTCCCAAAAACCGTCCCTAACAATATGTTGCTAGAATTCTGATGTCAATATTCATCTTGGGATTGGAGAATTTGGCATTTAAAGATCAGGTCTTTTACAACATGGAGTTATGGCCTTTGTCTTTGTTGGTAGATAACTTACAGAGTTGTGGCCCTTTGCTTGAGTTAGTTTTACACAGTGAAACATGATACACAATGCATTCTTTCTTAATTTTCCTTTACAGGAGGAATTGTCTACAGCCCTGAAAGAAGTCCTGAACGCCATCAAGCTCTCTGAGAGAGGAGTGTTCGTTCAAGCTTCTACACTAGGCTCACTAGAAGCTCTTCTAGAATTTCTCAAAGTTTCCAATATTCCAGTAAGTATTGATTCGATCATGCGGTGTTCGATATTACTTCTGCCATTATTTATTAATTGTGACTTAACTCTCACTGAAGTAAGATGTAAAAGGAAGGGGACAGTGTATATAGAATCACTTGTGTGGCTCCATCCTTGCATACATTGTGACGACCTTGTGTACAAGATATCTCACGAAGCCCATATCAGATTCAATGGACATTCAACCCAGAGTATTGCTCCCCACAAGGTCGACACCTGATTCAATTTTGGTGGTCATCGGTCAAGGTTAAAGGTCAAAGTCACCCTTGACCACTTTTGAAATAAACAGCTTGTTTACAACATATCTTGTGAACCCTTTAATACATGAACTTTTCAATAGATTTGGATCAGAAGTAAAAGATGAGAGAGAGAGAGAGAGAGAGAGAGAGAGAGAGAGAGAGAGAGAGAGAGAGAGAGAGAGAGAGAGAGAGAGGGTGTGGGTATATCTAAGATGAGAGAGGGAGGGAGAGAGGGTTTGGGTATATCTATGTGAGTCAGTGCTTACTTTGTTTTTGTTGACATTTACACAAAATAACAATGTTGTCATCATACAATGATTTAATAACAAAGGAAGTAATTTATTTTTTCTTGTTATTAATTTTTTTCACATTCCTCCCTCATTATCTGAAAATATCCTGTTATAGATCTTTCCTTGGAGTAATGATATAAAGACAAAACATTAACAAAAATATAGAAGGTGTACCTCATGAAATAGAACAGAGTTTAGTCATAGATTTGTTTTCTATATTTGGGATCTAATATTGATAATTTGATCCTCTTTGTTTCAGTATGCGGGCATTAATATTGGTCCTGTTCATAGAAAAGACATCATGAAAGCTTCTATTATGTTGGAACATGATACCCAGTAAGTCAAATACCTAATCCTTTTGATCACGATGAGACTTCACACTCATTTACTGAATTAGATAAATTATCACACAAGACTCATCACTGAAGATCATGCAGTTGATTGGATGGGAAGAGCATATCACATTAACCCAGCACTAAGTCCTGGGAAAAACACAGGGTAAAGTTCATACTGGGTAAAATTCCTTCTGGGTAAACCACAGGGTAAAGTTCATACTGGGTAAAATTCCTTCTGGGTAAAGTCCATACCAGGTAAAATTCCTTCTGGGTAAACCACAGGGTAAAGTTCATACTGGGTAAAACACAGGGTAAAGTCCATACTGGGTAAAGTTCATACTGGGTAAACACAAGGGTAAAGTCCATACGGGATAAATCACAGGGTAAAGTTCATACTGAGTAAACACAAGGGTAAAGTCCATACAGGATAAAACACAGGGTAAAGTTCATACTGGGTAAACACAAGGGTAAAGTCCATACGGGATAAATCACAGGGTAAAGTTCATACTGGGTAAAACACAAAGGTAAAGTTCATAATGGGTAAAACAAGGGTAAAGTTCATACTGGGTAAAATTCCTTCTGAGTAAAGTCCATACTGGGTAAAGTTCATACTGGGTAAACCATAGGGTAAAGTTCATACTGGGTAAAACACAGGGTAAAGTCCATACTGGGTAAAGTTCATACTGGGTAAAACACAGGGTAAAGACCTTACTGGGTAAAACACAGGGTAAGGTTCATACTGGGTAAAACACAAGGGTAAAGTTCGTACTAGGTAAAACACAGGGTAAAGTCCGTACTGGGTAGAATTCATACTGGGTAAAACAAGGGTAAAGTTCATACTGGGTAAAACACAAGGGTAAAGTTTATACTGGGTAAAACACAGGGTAAAGTTCATACTGGGTAAAACACAGGGTAAAGTCCATACTGGGTAAAACACAAGGTAAAGTTCATGCTGAGTAAAATGCAAGGGTAAAGTTGATACTGGGTAAAACAAGGGTAAAGTTCATACTGGGTAAAATACAAGAGTTCATACTGGGTAAAACTCAGGGTAAAGTTCATACTGGGTGAAACACAAGGGTAAAGTTCATACTGGGTAAAATACAGGATAAAGTCCATACTTGGTAAAATAGCAATAATTCCATACTCGGTAAAATACTGGCCAATAAGTCCATGCTAGGTACTGTAAAATACAGGGTAGTCAGTCCATACCTGGTATAGCACAGGGTACTAAGTCCATATTATGGTAATAAAGCCATACTGTGTGAAAAGGTCAATATTAGGGTTATAAGTCCATGCTGGGTAATAAAATCAATACTGGACAATAAGTCAATAGTGGGGGTTGTAAGTTCATATCAGGTAATACATGAATAGTCAGTAAAAAGTCAATTGTGGACAATAAGTCCTCACTGGGGTATTGGCCATACTGGTTAATAAGCTGATATCTGGTGCAGGTCATTTTCCTGTAGTAAGCCCAATATAGTTTCCCCCAATATATTTTCCCTGTAATAAGCCTATCTCCCAATATATTTTCCCTGTAATAAGCCTATTCCCCTATATATTTTCCCTGTAATAAGCCTATCTCCCAATATATTTTCCCTGTAATAAGCCTATTCCCCAATATATTTTCCCTGTAATAAGCCTATCTCCCAATATATTTCCCTGTAATAAGCCTATTCCCCAATATATTTTCCCTGTAATAAGCCTATCTCCCAATATATTTTCCCTGTAATAAGTCTATCTCCCATTATATTTTTTCTGTAGTAAGTCCATCTGCCAAGTTTGTGTTAGACAGAAGTATTGTTTCAAAGACTTAGTGCTGGATATAAATACTGCAATAGGTCCATCATTCTCCAGAACGTTGCTTCAGTTATCGACTGTACCTAAAGATACGCTGGCAAAATGACCAGACTATTTAGTTTGGTACTGGACTTGTGGTTGACCACGAAACTGTTAGGTTCAGACAGAACAGTTGATATGGGCCATGTGTATAGTGTCTGATTCAATTAAGTTAGGAAAAAGTTCTCAGCTATGTCAGAGTACTACATGCTGTGTAACACAAACCTAACTTCAAATTATAGTGATTTTTTGTGGGCACTTCAGAGACAAAAATAGAAAGTGGAAATTTAAATAAATAGTGTGCTGGTGGAGATGAAATCCAAAGACAATGGAGTGAACTATGACCAACCAGACTTCGGTGAAAACTTGACATGATATTTTCAGTGTTTGGTAAAATTTTGGCTCAACCACCACAAATTAGTTCCCAATGTCCACTAGTGGTCAGAGGTCACCTTATCTGTTAATCTTGACTAGTGCCAAGTCAGAGGTCATCTTATTTGTCAACCTTCCCTACTGTCAAGTCAGAGGTCAGGTTATTTTCATTGACCTAGCTAACTGATGTCAGATCAGACAGATTAGCAAAAACACTTACTGTAAAGATAGTTATTTTTAAAACACCATCATCAGATGGTGGGCTGTTAAAATCACTCTGTGTCCGTTGTCCGTCCCTCTGTCCATAAAAAAATTTTTTTTGACAGCTGCCATCTTGTGTTTTAACTTTGAAAGTTTGTTATTGCTATTTCTTGAAAAGTACTTGATGGATCTTTCTTAAAGTTCATATGTAGGTTCCCCTTGGTGCCATGTTTCACCAGTTTGATTTTGGGTCTGATCAGATAAACAAAATAGCTGACAGCCATCCATCTTGGATTTTGACTTTGCAAGTTTGTTATCGCTATTTCTTAAGAACTACTGAATAGATCTTTCTCAAATTTCATATATATTGATTCCTTTCGGTCCCTAGTTGTGCCCATTTAATTTTGGGTCAGATCAGAAACACAAATTAGCCGAGAGGCAGCCATCTTGAATTTTGACTTGGAAAGTTTTTATCTCTATTTCTTGAGAACTACATCACAGATCTTCCTCACATTTCATGTGTATGCTTTCCTTGATCCCTAGTTGTGCCTCTTTTGTTTTTGGTACTGATCGGAAAAAACAAAATGGCCCACAAGCGGCCATCTTGGATTTTGACTTCGAAAGATTGTTATCACTACTTCTTGAGAATTACGGTATAGATCCTTCACAAATTTCATGTATATGGTTCTTAAGGTCCCTAATTTTGCCTATTTTAGTTTGGGACTGATCAGAAAAACAAAATGGCCGACACGCAGCCATCTTCGAATTTGCCTAGTAAAGATAGTTTTTGATTTTTCTTAAGAAGTACTGAACTTAAATTTCATACGTATGTTTCCTTTGATCTCTCCATGTGCTCGTTTGATTCTGGGACTGATCAGAAGAAACAAAATGGCTTCCAGGTGGCCATTTTGGATTTGGCAGGTTAAGATTATCATCACTATTTCTACAAAAAAATGTTTAAATGTCTTTAAGAGCAAAACAGAGAAGAAGAAAGAAGGGAAAAAATTTCTCAAAGGGCATATAAATATTAAACAATTGTGGGTGCCAAGCTCCCTGTGGGATCTCTTGTTGATGGTTCAAATTTTTGTTCAGTTTTACGAAAAATTGATGCAAAATGGATATATTGTTTTTGGAAACCATGTAATGGACTATTGTTTTCTTCATTCAATTTCATTTTCATCCTATTTGCCCCACAGCTTTTTCTTAACTTGATTTCATTTGTGATTCTGATGACTCCAAGATTGGATTGTGGTTTGAGTATTGGCATTTGCTGGGATTTTAACTGTATAGGACAGCTCCTACACATTCATCGTCCGTTCATTCGTCAACTTTTCCTTTTTTTGATGGTTCAGATTTTTGCAGTTTTACAAAATTGCTTGAAACAAAATGAATGTTTATTCAAGCACTTTTGTTCTGTTCTTGAAAGTGGTGAAAAATGGTGAACCCAAAAATAACAAGCTTAACAGCCTCTGTCAGCTTTTGTGGTGGTTTGTGTAGAAGATCTGTGATTTCTCTGAAGAAAATCTGAACTGTCATGTTGATGGGCCTGGTTATCTGTGGTACAGTAGTAGTTCTGTGGTCTGGGTACTAGCTGTTCACATCCACCAAAGTAACCTTACAGACAGAAGGAATCTGTTAAAATGTCTTTCACCTTCCCAAATAGTGGCAATTATATTTGTGACCACAAGTATTTAGAATGAGGTCACGGAGACTGTACCAGTTAACACTGAAGTCTGCTATCTAGAGAACTCTGTAGTCCACCATTGCTCAGTCAGTGGTTGGCCATTCCTTGCTTTATCAAAGTCTTCACCTTTAGCACTATTTGAGTACATTGGTACCCAAATTATCACTTGTGGAATGGTAGATATCATCATCCGTTTTACATTTACAACAACTTAGTACAAGCTATCATTTATGTAGTCCATTATCATCAAATGGTGGGCTTTCAAATCGTGCGGTGTCTGTGATGGATTTCTCTCTAATTTCATATATAGTCTTACCTTTGTCTCTAGATTGTTCCTAGAGTCAATGGCTATTGTATTGGTCACAGGAAGGGATCCTAGAGTCTGTGGCTGTTGTATTGGTCAAAGGAAGGGATGTTGGAATCTGTGGTTGTTGTATTGGTCAAAGGAAGGGATCCTAGAGTCTGTGGCTGTTGTATTGGTCAAAGGAAGGGATCCTAGAGTCTGTGGCTGTTGTATTGGTCAAAGGGAGGGATCCTAGAGTCTGTGACTGTTGTATTGGTCACAGGAAGGGATCCTAGAGTCTGTGACTGTTGTATTGGTCACAGGAAGGGATCCTAGAGTCTGTGACTGTTGTATTGGTCAAAGGAAGGGATGCTGGAGTCTGGCTGTTGTATTGGTCAAAGGAAGGGATCCTAGAGTCTGTGGCTATTGTATTGGTCAAAGGGAGGGATCCTAGAGTCTGTGGCTATTGCATTGGTCACAGGAAGGGATCCTAGAGTCTGTGACTGTTGTATTGGTCAAAGGAAGGGATGCTGGAGTCTGTGGCTGTTGTATTGGTCAAAGGAAGGGATCCTAGTGTCTGTGGCTGTTGTATTGGTCAAAGGAAGGGATCCTAGTGTCTGTGGCTGTTGCATTGGTCAAAGGAAGGGATCCTAGTGTCTGTGGCTGTTGCATTGGTCAAAGGAAGGGATGCTGGTGTCTGTTGCTGAGGAAGTTACTCTAATAAGTCTACCAACCCCAGATTGGTTTTAAGCAGGCTTCCCTGAGAACGGCATTTTCATTTGCTCCAGATTGTTAAAGAAGACTTGAAACCTGTAGAAGTTTTAATGATGGCACAGTGACTCAGGAGAGGGTACTTTACGGTAGAAATGGCACAATTTGCTGATATGCAGTTTTTCTCTTGGAAATAGTTTATTTCTGTAACATTGTATGTTTTTAAGGGGTTCAATCTTCAAGGTTTTTCAAAATATTTCTATTTTACAGACATTAAAGCTGTATAAATATACTTACACTAAGAATATGACAAATGAATTTATGTTACACTGAGAATGACAGGTAATGGACATGAATTCATGTTACACTAACAATGACAGGTGATGGAACTTTGAATAAAGAATGATTGAGAGTAACCATGAAATCAACAAAAGTAAACCCCCTCCCCCACACCACCACCACTAACCCATTCACATCAAACGAAATAGATATTGACTGAAATATTTTCACAGAGATTAAAATTGTAATGATATTTTTTGTGTTTCCTCAACAGGTATGCTGTGATTCTTGCATTTGACGTTCGTGTAGAACGAGAGGCACAAGAGATGGCGGACAGTTTAGGTGTTACCATTTTCACTGCAGACATTATATATAACTTGTTTGACAAGTTTATTGCCTATAGAAACGTGGATAATACACATAAAATGTCAGGATGGATAATACACATAAAATGTCATTGTGGATAATACACATAAAATGTCAGTGTGGATAATACACATAAAATGTCAGTGTGGATAATACACATAAAATATCAGTGTGGATAATACACATAAAATGTGAGGTTAATACACATAAAATGTCAGTGTGGATAATACACATAAAATATCAAGTGTGGATAATACACATACATAAAATGTCAGTGTGGATAATACACATAAAAATGTGGATAATACACATAAAATGTCAGTGTGCTTAATACACATAAAATGTCAGTGTGGATAATACACATAAAATGTCAGTGTGGATAATACACATAAAATGTCAGTGTGGATAATACACATAAAATGTCATTGTGAATGTGGATAATACACATAAAATGTCAGTGTGGATAATACACATAAAATGTCAGTGTGGATAATACACATAAAATGTCAGTGTGGATAATACACATAAAATGTCAGTGTGGATAATACACATAAAATGTCAGTGTGGATAATAAACATAAAATGTCAGGGTGGATAATACACATAAAATGTCAGTGTGGATAATACACATAAAATGTCAGTGTGGATAATACACATAAAATGTCAGTGTGGATGTAGATAATACACATAAAATGTCAGTGTGGATAATACACATAAAATGTCAGTGTGGATAATACACATAAAATGTCAGTGTGGATAATACACATAAAATGTCAGTGTGGATAATACACATAAAATGTCAGTGTGGATAATACACATAAAATGTCAGTGTGGATAATACACATAAAATGTGGATAATACACATAAAATGTCAGTGTGGATAATACACATAAAATGTCAGTGTGGATAATACACATAAAATGGAGTGTGGATAATACACAGTGTGGATAATACACATAAAATGTCAGTGTGGATAATACACATAAAATGTCATTGTGAATGTGGATAATACACATAAAATGTCAGTGTGGATAATACACATAAAATGTCAGTGTGGATAATACACATAAAATGTCAGTGTGGATAATACACATAAAATGTCAGTGTGGATAATACACATAAAATGTCAGTGTGGATAATACACATAAAATGTCAGTGTGGATAATACACATAAAATGTCAGTGTGGATAATACACATAAAAAGTGTGGATAATACACATAAAATGTCAGTGTGGATAATACACATAAAATGTCAGTGTGATAATACACATAAAATGGATAATACACATAAAATGTCATGTCAGTGTGATAATACACATAAAATGTGGATAATACACATAAAATGTCAGTGTGGATAATACACATAAAATGTCAGTGTGGATAATACACATAAAATGTCAGTGTGGATAATACACATAAAATGTCAGTGTGGATAATACACATAAAATGTCAGTGTGGATAATACACATAAAATGTCATTGTGGATAATACACATAAAATGTCAGTGTGGATAATACACATAAAATGTCAGTGTGGATAATACACATAAAATGTCAGTGTGGATAATACACATAAAATGTCAGTGTGGATAATACACATAAAATGTCAGGATGGATAATACACATAAAATGTCATTGTGGATAATACACATAAAATGTCAGTGTGGATAATACACATAAAATGTCAGTGTGGATAATACACATAAGATGTCAGTGTGGGTAATACACATAAAATGTCAGTGTGGATAATACACATAAAATGTCAGTGTGGATAATACACATAAAATGTCAGTGTGGATAATACACATAAAATGTCAGTGTGATAATACACATAAAATGTCAGTGTGGATAATACACATAAAATGTCAGTGTGGATAATACACATAAAATGTCAGTGTGGATAATACACATAAAATGTCAGTGTGGATAATACACATAAAATGTCAGTGTGGATAATACACATAAAATGTCAGTGTGGATAATACACATAAAATGTCAGTGTGGATAATACACATAAAATGTCAGTGTGGATAATACACATAAAATGTCAGTGTGGATAATACACATAAAATGTCAGTGTGGATAATACACATAAAATGTCAGTGTGGATAATACACATAAAATGTCAGTGTGATAATACACATAAAATGTCAGTGTGGATAATACACATAAAATGTCAGTGTGGATGTAGATAATACACATAAAATGTCAGTGTGTATAATACACATAAAATGTCAGTGTGGATAATACACATAAAATGTCAGTGTGGATAATACACATAAAATATCAGTGTGGATAATACACATAAAATGTCAGTGTGGATAATACACATAAAATGTCAGTGTGGATAATACACATAAAATGTCAGTGTGGATAATACACATAAAATGTCAGTGTGGATAATACACATAAAATGTCAGTGTGTGGATAATACACATAAAATGTCAGTGTGGATAATACACATAAAATGTCAGTGTGGATAATACACATAAAATGTCAGTGTGGATAATACACATAAAATGTCAGTGTGGATAATACACATAAAATGTCAGTGTGGATAATACACATAAAATGTCAGTGTGGATAATACACATAAAATGTCAGTGTGGATAATACACATAAAATGTCAGTGTGGATAATACACATAAAATGTCAGTGTGAATGTGGATAATACACATAAAATGTCAGTGTGGATAATACACATAAAATGTCAGTGTGGATAATACACATAAAATGTCAGTGTGGATAATACACATAAAATGTCAGTGTGGATAATACACATAAAATGTCAGTGTGGATAATACACATAAAATGTCAGTGTGGATAATACACATAAGATGTCAGTGTGGGTAATACACATAAAATGTCAGTGTGGATAATACACATAAAATGTCAGTGTGGGTAATACACATAAAATGTCAGTGTGGATAATACACATTAAATATCAGTGTAATATGAAATCCAGGATATAACACACAGGCACAATAATTTGTAATCCGGAAAAAGTTGAAAATGTTTTAATTTTGAAATAGAAAATCGCGGTAGATTTTGGGGATGAAAAAATATTGAGCCACCGGTTTGTAAATAAACAGAACCAAGAATTTTGGCTTGGTACATTATGTAGTTTGAGCTCTGATAAGAACTGTGGTTGGTGAGATTTGGAGTTTTCTCCTTTCTCCCGTGTCTGGTTAACTTTGTGCTGTGTGTTAATCAGGAAACTTGAATGCTGTCGTTAAACGGTGATATTCCAATATTACAGATTTACTTGCTTACATGCTTATTTTCGATCCATTGAAAGGTTTTGTGATAAAATTTGGAGACAGTGATAGTAAATTGACTTAGTAGTATAGGAAGATTTCCATGGATGGAATTGCGATGCTAAGTCTATACCGATTTGGCAGTGTAGATTTAGTGTTTTGAAGTGTAATCTGCCTCCTAGGTGCATTCTGTTATTTGTTGGAGTGATAGAAGGAATATCAGACACGTGTTGTAGTACTGGGCGGGGCCCTTCTGACGCTCTTCTAGGGCACCATGTAAAACATGGCTGTAAGCCAGGCGCCAACCAAATTCTTCAGTACACATCATATCCAACTGGTTCCTGATTATGTTCAGTGGTTGTGTTGGGCCCTGATTATGTTCAGAGTGATTATGTTAGGCCCTGATTATGTTCAGAGTGATTATGTTAGACCCTGAATATGTTCAAAGTGATTGTGTTAGGCCCTGATTATGTTCAGAGGGATTATGTTAGGACCCGATTATGGTCCTAAGTGTTTTGACTTTTCATCTCGCTTTAGGCCCTGATTCAAAATATTTTATTTTGGGCCCTGATTATGTTCAAAGTGATTGTGTTAGGCCCTGATTATGTTCAGAGGGATTATGTTAGGACCCGATTATGGTCTAAGTGTTTTGACTTTTCATCTCGCTTTAGGCCCTGATTCAAAATATTTTATTTTGGGCCCTGTTTATGTTCAGAGTGATTGTGTTAGGCCCTGATTATGTTCAGAGTGATTGCAGTAGGCCCTGATTATGGTCTAACCTTTTGACTGTCATGATCAATAATTTCCAGACATTGATTTATTCCCAGACAAATAACCTGATGGCCCATATTTTGTTGTCGAGTTGATATGCAATCCTAAAAATCACCACAACCACACACCTAATATAGCAAACCATTAAGGAATATCTACAATCACTTACAATTTTGAATGGATACATCATTTTCCTGATGTAATTATCAACACAGGTAATATTTTCAGAAGATTTGAAATTTATTATCAAGTCAAAATTAAGACTTATCTTATTAATCCTGATGATTAATGGTAGTGTGAGGGTTTGTATAGGTGAGAAGATAGACTCTTTTTTACTGCATCCCTCCTACATACCAACCGATCCCATATCACAACACCTGAAGGATTGGCAAGCTGTTCCGTTTGTTTTGATTTTTTAACCTCTACAGTTACCAGTTACAATTCTCTTTGTGGTTCTGACTTACCTCTACAGTTACAATTCTCTGTGTGGTTCTGACTTACCTCTACAGTTACAATTATCTGTGTGGTTCTGACTTACCTCTACAGTTACAATTCTCTATGTTTGTGGTTCTGACTTACCTCTACAGTTACAATTCTCTATGTTTGTGGTTCTGACTTACCTCTACAGTTACAATTCTCTATGTTTATGGTTCTGACTTACCTCTACAGTTACAATTCTCTATGTGGTTCTGACTTACCTCTACAGTTACAATTCTCTATGTGGTTCTGACTTACCTCTACAGTTACAATTCTCTTTGTGGTTCTGACTTACCTCTACAGTTACAATTCTCTCTGTTTGTGGTTCTGACTTACCTCTACAGTTACAATTCTCTATGTTTATGGTTCTGACTTACCTCTACAGTTACAATTCTCTGTGTGGTTCTGACTTACCTCTACAGTTACAATTCTCTCTGTTTGTGGTTCTGACTTACCTCTACAGTTACAATTCTCTATGTGGTTCTGACTTACCTCTACAGTTACAATTCTCTATGTGGTTCTGACTTACCTCTACAGTTACAATTCTCTGTGTGGTTCTGACTTACCTCTACAGTTACAATTCTCTATGTGGTTCTGACTTACCTCTACAGTTACAATTCTCTTTGTGGTTCTGACTTACCTCTACAGTTACAATTCTCTGTGTGGTTCTGACTTACCTCTACAGTTACAATTCTCTATGTTTATGGTTCTGACTTACCTCTACAGTTACAATTCTCTATGTGGTTCTGACTTACCTCTACAGTTACAATTCTCTGTGGTGGTTACAATTCTCTGACTGACTTACCTCTACAGTTACAATTCTCTGTTTGTGGTTCTGACTTACCTCAGTTACAGTTACAATTCAATTCTCTTGTGGTTCTGACTTACCTCTATAGTTACAATTATCTGTGTGGTTCTGACTTACCTCTACAGTTACAATTCTCTTTGTGGTTCTGACTTACCTCTACAGTTACAATTCTCTCTGTTTGTGGTTCTGACTTACCTCTACAGTTACAATTCTCTGTGTGGTTCTGACTTACCTCTACAGTTACAATTCTCTTTGTGGTTCTGACTTACCTCTACAGTTACAATTCTCTATGTTTGTGGTTCTGACTTACCTCTACAGTTACAATTCTCTTTGTGGTTCTGACTTACCTCTACAGTTACAATTCTCTCTGTTTGTGGTTCTGACTTACCTCTACAGTTACAATTCTCTTTGTGGTTCTGACTTACCTCTACAGTTACAATTATCTGTGTGGTTCTGACTTACCTCTACAGTTACAATTCTCTTTGTGGTTCTGACTTACCTCTACAGTTACAATTCTCTGTTTGTGGTTCTGACTTACCTCTACAGTTACAATTCTCTCTGTTTGTGGTTCTGACTTACCTCTACAGTTACAATTCTCTCTGTTTGTGGTTCTGACTTACCTCTACAGTTACAATTCTCTGTGTGGTTCTGACTTACCTCTACAGTTACAATTCTCTCTGTTTGTGGTTCTGACTTACCTCTACAGTTACAATTCTCTATGTGGTTCTGACTTACCTCTACAGTTACAATTCTCTTTGTGGTTCTGACTTACCTCTACAGTTACAATTCTCTATGTGGTTCTGACTTACCTCTACAGTTACAATTCTCTATGTTTGTGGTTCTGACTTACCTCTACAGTTACAATTCTCTTTGTGGTTCTGACTTACCTCTACAGTTACAATTCTCTGTGTGGTTCTGACTTACCTCTACAGTTACAATTCTCTCTGTTTGTGGTTCTGACTTACCTCTACAGTTACAATTCTCTTTGTGGTTCTGACTTACCTCTACAGTTACAATTCTCTCTGTTTGTGGTTCTGACTTACCTCTACAGTTACAATTCTCTATGTGGTTCTGACTTACCTCTACAGTTACAATTCTCTATGTGGTTCTGACTTACCTCTACAGTTACAATTCTCTATGTGGTTCTGACTTACCTCTACAGTTACAATTCTCTGTGTGGTTCTGACTTACCTCTACAGTTACAATTCTCTGTGTTTGTGGTTCTGACTTACCTCTACAGTTACAATTCTCTTTGTGGTTCTGACTTACCTCTACAGTTACAATTCTCTATGTTTGTGGTTCTGACTTACCTCTACAGTTACAATTCTCTATGTGGTTCTGACTTACCTCTACAGTTACAATTCTCTTTGTGGTTCTGACTTACCTCTACAGTTACAATTCTCTATGTTTGTGGTTCTGACTTACCTCTATAGTTACAATTATCTGTGTGGTTCTGACTTACCTCTACAGTTACAATTCTCTTTGTGGTTCTGACTTACCTCTACAGTTACAATTCTCTCTGTTTGTGGTTCTGACTTACCTCTACAGTTACAATTCTCTGTGTGGTTCTGACTTACCTCTACAGTTACAATTCTCTATGTGGTTCTGACTTACCTCTACAGTTACAATTCTCTCTGTTTGTGGTTCTGACTTACCTCTACAGTTACAATTCTCTTTGTGGTTCTGACTTACCTCTACAGTTACAATTCTCTTTGTGGTTCTGACTTACCTCTACAGTTACAATTCTCTATGTGGTTCTGACTTACCTCTACAGTTACAATTCTCTATGTGGTTCTGACTTACCTCTACAGTTACAATTCTCTATGTGGTTCTGACTTACCTCTACAGTTACAATTCTCTCTGTTTGTGGTTCTGACTTACCTCTACAGTTACAATTCTCTATGTGGTTCTGACTTACCTCTACAGTTACAATTCTCAATGTTTGTGGTTCTGACTTACCTCTACAGTTACAATTCTCTGTGTGGTTCTGACTTACCTCTACAGTTGTGGTTCTGACTTACCTCTACAGTTACAATTCTCTGAGACTAAATGTGGGTTCTGACAGGACCTACTTACCTCTACAAAACATCTCTACATATGGGTGGTGGTCTGACTTACCTCTACAGTTACAATTCTCTATGTGGTTCTGACTTACCTCTTGTGATAAACTACAGTTACAATTCTCTATGTTTGTGGTTCTGACTTGCACCTCTACAGTTACAATTCTCTAATGTTCTACTAAACAGCTGACTTACCTCTGGGTGGGGTTATTACCAGACATAGACTTATTACTGGATAAACACAGTAATAATTCTACTAAACAGCAGTAAATATGGGTGGGCTTATTACCAGACATGGACTTATTTCTGGATAAATACAGTAATAATTCTACTAAACAACAGTAGATATGGGTGGGCTTATTACCAGACATGGACTTATTTCTGGATAAATACAGTAATAATTCTACTAAACAGCAGTAGATGGAGCTTATTCCTTAACTTATCACTGGATAAATAAGGGAGATCTATAAAAATCAATATAACATTCAGTAACTTGTTTAACTTATTTTCTGTTTCCTTCATATCATCCAGTTTTGATAAAACAAAATCTATATAAATAATTGTTGGAATGATACTGAGTGCACTGTCATGATACAATCAGCAGTATTTCCAGTTTGTTTTAATTTTATGGTGTGGGAATTCTAGTATCTGGATTTTCTGGGAAATATGATTCAAACTTTTTGGGAGTGAAATTAAATTTTCTGGAAACCCCAGATTCACTACCTCGCAAAAATCTAAAAATAAAAACCATATAGAGAAAAGTGTAATAAATTAACTGTTGTAGGGTATATATGGTCTCTATGGAATTGACAGTGATCTTTAGTATATAGCTGTAAGGCTTCAGGTAAGGATCACATGGATTTGAATGTGTGTATTGGGGCTTGCAGGGCCAATGGAAGTGTGTGTGTACTGAGGTGGAACACTTTAATCGTCACCTCTAAGTAAAAACCTGACGCTATACAGATTGATTTTGTCAGTGGTAGCGTATATTGATACATTGAAATAGACGCCACCTATCAATCATGGGCCTCATTGGCTCCAAGATTTACGGAGATAAATGACTGACCTTGACCTTATAACCCCCTCGTAAGATCAGATCTGTTTCAGTTACAAAGATTATAGAATGTGACTTTTTACAGGTAAATACATAAGATGCTACATAAGTATCTTTATATCTTTGAGAAAGTGCTGAGTCGACTTAAGTAAGTGTCAGCTGTTCAGTTGTTATC